ATCCATCCATCATCCATCCATCCATCCATCCATCCATCCATCCATCCATCCATCCATCCATCCATCCATCCATCCTACGATACATCCATCCATCCGTCCATCCATCCATCCATCCATCCATCCTCCGTCCGTCCGTCCGTCCGTCCGTCCGTCCGTCCGTCCGTCCGTCCGTCCGTCCGTCCGTCCGTCCGTCCGTCCATCCTACGATACATCCCGTATGATCTGGATGCTCTGGTGCCGCTAATGTTCCTCTTCTACTAGCAAGTACGAAATATTTGCGTGTGACCGAGAACGCAACAGTTATTCCGTCTGATATCCTAATAACGTCCGAATGTATTCGCAGGTGCCACCAACTCGCAAGATGTGGAAAGATGGCGGCCGGATGTAACTCCGCTGCCGCGAGATGGCGCTCTACGCAGAAGCTGATGAGACAGCGTTGTCGCGTGAAGATGTGAGGATGTGTGAGGCAACAAATCTTCGTCCGCCAGATGGCGTGAAATCACGCGGTGGCGCGTGAGGACGACAGCAACACGCCGTGAGGAGAACAACACGCTGTGTTTGAGCAACGGGTGTTGATTATTAGCCGAGGATTCAAAGATGCTGATGTTACGGGGTCCTGAATTCGCCCGTACAGCAGAGCAGCGGCGATCTACTGATGTATCGATTCACCGGAAGAAATCGGATTCATCGAAAAGTCCGGATCAAACCGGATCCCCCTCATCTTGCGCAGCCCGTCTCTCGTAACGTATCATGGCGCATGCGCAAGTAGCGCCATCATGAGCGGGGTAGTATGCACGTCATAATATTATAAATGACGTACGCAGTCCGCCTTTCGAAGTCGACGCAAATTAAACGTAAGAGAATGGCAAGCGACTGCTTCCTCGCCCTGTAATCTTATATCTTAGAGGCTTCATTACGTTATGTACGATGGCAGCAAAATGGGGAGCGTAATTCTAACTCAGATAATCTTATATATATATATATATATATATATATATATATATATATATATGCCGTCTGAAACTTGCCTCAAGAATTCCTATATTGTGGTTTATGCGTTACAACACAGATCGAATACACTGTATTATATGTCAACGCGCATTCCTTCGTGTATTAACTGGAATGTGCTGTTGTTATTTATACACACTACAATAACTAGCAAGTTTATCGCACACGAGAAACCTAGTGGGGTTTTACTCGCCGAATAACGGCTTATGTAGAATATCAGGTGTAACATGTAAGCTTATTGTCTATAAACAACGAAAGCTCTTTTATCGTTCACATATTCTCGTAGCGTAGAGTCTTTTTATCTAAAGTTTCTCGACTTCTTTCCTCACTGGGTATCCAGGTATATTTAGATGGCTATATTTCGCGTAAACACGCGCATGTACACACGTGTGCGCGTGTGCGCGTGTGCGCGTGTGCGCGTGTGTTAATTGAAATGTACATAATGTCTTGATTATGTTGGCATTGCGTTCTATTTGCGTTTCTGAGCGCGTATCTAGCAGTTATGCAACTGAATGCAATTTATACGCTCCATGGCATTATTTATTGTCACAGAATACTCTACTAACGGCAGTACGTTTAGCATGTGGCCACGCGTGCATGATAACATAGTATACATCTCGTCTGCTCGTGCCTAGTATTATATATATATATGTATATATATATGTATATATATATATATGTATATATATATGTATATATATATGCACAAACACCGTGGTTTTTTGTATCTAAACTTGTTAATGGGGCTCAATTAGCGATGGATGAAATGAAATCATGTATTGTTACAAATAACAAACAATAATAATTTAGTAATAAAAACTGACTGAGAAAAAACTTCATTCGTTCTCTATCTTTGAGCTGTTGTTGTAAATATGCACCTATGTCGAAAGGCATATTCTAGAAACTATGTCAGAAAAAAACGCATGCAAGAACTGTATACAAGCGATCCTCTAATTGTACACACATGCTTATGAATCCTTGTGCGTGTACATTAACGTCTATCATCATACGTCCAGAGATAAAGCCAGAAATGTTGAAAGCGAGATTCACATTGTAGGTCTACTTAACAGCCAGTGATTGCATCCCCTCCTACACATAATGCCAGCCATGTAATTTTGACAAGACCAATATAAGATAGATGCATGGAAGGGGTTAGAGCCTACTCTAACCTACTGTGTATTTGTGCATGCACAATGGCGTGCGGGCTATGTGTTGCATCGGTGTATTTAACGGTGTTGAAGTGAAGTTATTAGGTCAAATCAAACATTAAGACTATTGCTGGTACTGTAGTACTAGTAGTACTGACAAGTTGTATTTATTAACCATCATTTTATTATTGAAACGGTCCAAGTGCCTGTGGCCTCGACGCCAGGAAATCCGACCAACAACAACAACGCAAACGAGCAACGAAAGGTTTTCGCAAACAACTCTCGCTGGCGGCGGTGTTATTATTCTGAGCGTCTCGATTCGGTGAGTTTATATCGGTTTGGATTAAGATGTAGGACAAGCAGAGCAAAGCAGACTATAGTCGGTGCACAGAATCTGAGACGTGAACGTACGTTTAACGACGGATAGGAGCCGCTGTAACTGTAGCAAGTGCTAGTAAATACATTGTCGCTCAACGAAGTAGTTTGGTAGCCATTGTTGGAGCTGCAGCAGCTTGGTAAGTAAGTGTTTGCCGGGGGGTCAGTAGCGATGTAAATCGGGAATATGGACGAGGCGTAGATTATCGATATGCTTATCTATACACAGACTGGTTATGCATAACCTAGACAACGCGCCTATAGTAAGCATAAAACGTAGTTTGATTCACAACGGAGTAGGTGATGACAGGGGATGAAAGATGTGACGGGCAAGATACGTGTGTGATCAAACCTAGGCAGGTTCTTTACTCCGGAGTGTATAGTACAATGTTACATGTATCAGTGTGAAAGGAGTTACAATGTGTACATGTATCAGTGTGACAATTGTTACAATGTGTACATGTATCAGTGTGACAATTGTTACAATGTGTACATGTATCAGTGTGAAAGGAGTTACAATGTGTACATGTATCAGTGTGACAATTGTTACAAAGTGTACATGTATCAGTGTGACAATTGTTACAATGTGTACATGTATCAGTGTGATAATTGTTACAACGTGTACATGTATTAGCATTAATACAGTTTTACTACGTGATGTATCTCTCCTCTCTCTCTCTCTCCCGCAGCACACAGGAAACCATGCATCTACCGTGCAGCCTCCTCTTCCTCCTCCTCCTCCCGCTGCCGTGTTTCCTCGCATCGTCGCCGGCCGCCGGGCAGGGCGGCGCGGGAGACGGCGACGACACCTGCGTGTTCGCTCTCACCTACAACCCGCTAGACGCGCGACGCAGCGTCGACGCCATCCGCGCCTCCCTCGACGCGCTCACACAGGAGGTGCGCGCTCTCGCGTCGCGCCTTGACGCCGCGGGGGCGCCACGCGGCGGCGGCTCCGGCGACCACGACGACGACTGCTCGGCGGGCGACGGGTACGAGCGCGTCGGGAACTACTGCCTCCGCGGGTTCACCAGCTCTCACAACTGGACGGAGGCGAGCGAAATTTGCCGCAGCACAGGCGGACAGCTCCTCTCCGTAGACTCCGCGGAAAAAAAACTCGCTGCGGTCGCGCACTACGGACCGGCACACGACGCCGAATCGACTGCCGCCACGAGGCTGCCGTACTGGATCACGCAACGCGGCCGCCATGGGGGCGGTGTGGGCGAGACGCAAAGCACGGGTCCGGCAGCAGTGCGTTCGCCGACTGACGAGGTGGAGAGCCGTAAGAGACCCGAGCTCAGGACGACCGGCGTGGCGTCGAGCTGTGGTCGGAAGTCCAGCTGGAAGATGCTGGCAGCGTCCTGCTCCGACAACGCTCACTTCAGTCCTGCGAAAGGGTGAAGCGCTCAGCGGCCAGCCGCCGTGCGGGCCGGTGCGCCGCGCGTGGGCAGGCAGTCACACGCGCCATTGGCGAAGAGGCCTGAGCGAGCGTGCGGCTACGTGGACGTGGCAGCACACATGCTGCGACTAGTTGGGGCGCGGAATTACGCACTGGTGACATGAGGACTGTAATAGCCGGGCCAGACAGGCATAAGATGCCCATCAATTTTTGTTCGAATACTGATATTTTGTGGCACGCAAGCACCTGCCCCTCTAACAATACACTGTGTTGTAGTACAGGCTACCCTCATCAGCTTCAAACAATACACTGTTGTTTGTCCTGAAGCACATTCTAACAATACACTTTTTCCCTTTTTTTGTAACTTGAAATTGACATTCTTATTGCAAATAGCATGTGATTCTGATTGAATCTAGTCTGATTCGCCACGTTTATTCTGGCAACTGTTATTGAAACATGCAAACTTCGAATTTAAAGCACAGTTGTTACGTGTACGCTTCACCTATCAATACACAGAATACGACAAGTGTAGGTTAGGTGTCGTGCCCAACAATACACAGCGCCGGCTCGAAATTAGGACGTTTTATTTTTGGTATCCATCGGGATACTAGGTAGTTGAAATCTGGGATCCCCCACCCGAACCACCAGCTGGGTATCCCATTTATGGATAGTAATTTAGACAAGCAAAGGTCTCGTCATCCAAAATCCTGAGACATCAGTAGCCATATATAGCAGCTAGTATCTCAAATAATAAGCATTTGAAGAATTATGTAATACTGTAAGTAACTTATTACGATAACAAACCATGAAAAAAGCATCACAGATATATGCCACAAGACAAGCTTATATGGAACGCAGTCAAATAGAACAGCAGGCGCCGCATGACCCAGCTTAACCGCGCACGCACATGTCGACAGAGTACAGAACCACGGCCCAGAGTTGGCTGCAGCTTTCGCCAATTCCTCGCGAGATGGTCTGCCTCCGTAGCTCATACTCACACACAATCTCAGTATATTGTCCTCAAGCTCACATGAAAATACAAGCATAGCCAGGCCAGCATTGACTCACTGACTATAACTAACACAGACTTATTGCATAACATATGTTAATCACACAGGACACGCAAGCTGTCATCAGAGTTGAACTATATCTGAACTGACGAGAACAGAGGCACTCAACGGATAAGGCGACCTCCGCCAGCGACATACCCGTCCATTCCGCCATGACGACTGTAGGAACACGCACGAATAACCGACGGATATAACGCCAACGCCTACATGTATGCATCGCTCGCCGCGTCAGTCCGAGACCGGCAAGCCAGCTGTGGCTGCTCGCTTCGCTGGACGCGCCTAAATCGATCGGCTGGCGAAACCACTCACCACCAACACACCGAACGCCACAGACCGAATACATAACTGAAACTACTAAACATAACACCATGTATAATCCAGTAATATGAAATACTTGTGTCCTAAAGAATATGCACAGACCGGCGTATGTATCGATGCAGCAGTCAGAAATACAACAGTAGACTCCTACAGTTAGTCTACGAACTATAGCCCCCCCCATCGCCTGGCGTACCAGGAACACGCGCGCGCAAGGGCTATTCGCTCTGAGAGCTAAGCTCTACAGCCTAATATAGCCCATCAAAACCACAACTATGCCACTACTGGCATGCGACTCAGATTCGAGTCAATCAGAATCACCATTAAATTCAGCCATTCTGGGCGTGCTTCTTCTAATGCCACGTTTTGATCCAGACATTTTGACGTGGTCGCCTGAGTACAACTGACCGCTGGAACTATTCCACAGATGTATTGCTGGTCAAGTTGTAGTAGTAATTATCTGAAACTGTCTAATCTTACTCACGAATCTGATGATAATTACTGCAATGAAAAACACAACAGGCCTGTGAGTGTCGGTTAAAAAAACAGGACACAATATCGAAGCAGCAGACCCGTGACAGCAATGCGCAGCCCGTTTCCACGAATGCCACGCCCAATACCAGTACCGTGCTCAGCACTATACGTCCCGCGCCTAATCGTTAGTGGGCTGAGTGCTCCAGTTCTCGAGCGGCAAAACACTCGGGTATCCTACCAGTACCATAGCGCGAGCGAATATGTACGAGCGCCTGATATTGCCTAGTTCACTCCCTGCTGAGCCGGTATTTAATAGACCTACATCAGTAGAAGGTATATATCTGCCGAATAAAAGATTCAACCCATGTCATAAGATTTCAAATGTTTTCCAAATGTCCTCGCCGTTCCATCTTTACATAGCGCCTCCAACACGACACCCCCCCAATGCAGACGGATTGTGTTAGCCGCATTGTCTGCGTTCGCTTGATAAATGTAACACATGACATTCTGTGTTTACTCTACCCACATCGGCCACGCTTATTACGCTTGCTCTGGCAATATGCTGATGCCTGCTGGTAAAATTGCCAAAATTATTGGGTCACATGGAAACGCTACGTGCGATCAACGCTTCAGATGGAAACGCGATGTGCATAGGTAGGGCGCACTTGCCGCTCGTCGCAACTCTGCGCGCACATCGCTCAGATGCCGCTGCCGCTATAAAGTTGATAACTCAACAACACTAACCCGATTTTGCCGGATTTGTTTTTTACTATCCCGCGAGATACCAAGCATCAAATCTGAATATCCCAACAACAATGGAATCTGTGTATCCGCGGATATCGGGATACCGCTAATTTCGACCCCTGATATTACACACTGTATTGTTGAAAGTGTATTGTTACTTACCAGGATTATCTGCAGTGTTCTATGGTATCATCGCTGGTATCAAGTTATATTTGTGTATCACATACGTAGAGACTCTCTGCATACATTTCTAATATCGACTAAAATTGACCTGAATCGCTCTAGCAGTCGTGGCGCGCGAGCCGTTGCTACTCATAAACGCACCAGCATTACCGGACAAGAATGAGAAAGACAGCGCACGAACGAGGTTCAATGTACAAAGCGACCACTATTTATTGCACCATCTACCTACGTACAGCCGAATCTAGAATATTTCATAAACTCTGACTTGCGACAGATCAATAACAAACATCGATATAACCGAGAGAGCCGGCGATGACGCGTCCTCTTCCTCNTAGCAAAATGGTGAGGAAATACTTACCGTGGTAACAAAGGCTTCAGGCTCTGATAATCACAGCAAATTGAAGACTGCGCAAAGAGAATTTACACTGTGAAATTTCGTTTATAGAATACTTTCCGACTAAATCGCTTTACCGAAATCAACTGTCATACTGGCATTTAATTCAAAGGACGGTGGTGACATCTGTTTACCAACCTCCGCATCTGTTGCATTCCCCGCAGGGGCGTGTCACACACTATCACGCTCACATTGCAAACAGTTTTACAGTTTCTATCTAAGCGACACATTTCATGCGGGCATCACAAGATACAAGAGGCCTCTTTCACTCGTTCTCCAGGCAGTTGGTCGAGACATGTGCGTGAGAACTATACCGGAAATATCACCTGCATCTTAAAGAGAGGGCCTCACTGCTGATCTCTATTTTTCTCACGTTTCTGACTGTTTGTTATTTAATTTAGTATACGCATTTAAATAAATTTTTCGGCTAGCTTAAAATGTACCAAGATCAACAGCGCTGCCATAATGTGCGAACTTCGAGGACGGCTCTGGACACGACTCCAAATGAAAACAAAAACAAAATACAACAACGTTTATCCGAAAAAAAACCTGTAAACTTTTAAATAACACACTTTTTTTTGTAAATATTTAATATAAAAATACACGTTTTGCGTATTAAAGAATGTGCGTATTTTTTCCACCCTGTAAAACTTTAAGTTTGAATCAATCACTGAGAGCGCAGTGTAAATTGGTGTGATTAAGCGTGTCCATGCCTACACACGGTTCTGGTCGGCTATCCATGCAGTCTGGGGCGGAGCCTCGCAAACCTTCTCACTTACGGACTAGTGGTGCCAAGCGGGGCAAGCTTCCAAGTTTTTTGAGGCAAGCACTTAATGTTGGTTTGATAGCCAATGACTTAATGTTTCCTGTAGCAAGCATTTGAATAAGCTTCATGTTTTTCGAAGCATCTTTAAGTTGTTTGATAGCAATGACGCTTCATATTTTTGAGAGCAGTCTTTAACGAGTTTTCGCGGTCAACTTCTTGCAGCGCAGATAACACAACAGGGGAAATTTGCCAATTGCAAAGCCAATCGCTACATGCATGAGCAGCATTACGAAAAAAAAAGATTAAATATGAAATTATTAGTATTATTAATTATAAAACTCGCGGCACACCCGCTGCTGCCCATCTCCGCACCCTGATCCGTCATGAGAAGGTTCGCGCGATCACCGCGGCAACGACAGGAACGCGCGGTGGCAGCCCCTGGCGGCTAACTGCGCCATCACATGCGCGGGCGACACAGCTCACTCGGCAGGCTGCACGGCAACTGTTCCGTGACGACAGCATCTCGAATCGCAGCGGCGGCGGCAGTAGTCGCATGTCTGCGGGCAGACCGGCGTCTTGCGCTCCAGCCCCATGTCGTCCCAGACATCGGTGACGTCCTAGCGAGAGAAAGATCAAACATGTCTGATCGGCGACACGCGGTGACGACGCGCAGGCAGCGATGTAGGTCGCGCCCTCTCGTGGGAGAATTATAGTATGAAGACCATTCGCAATCATCTGGTTTAAACGCTACAGGACTGCTAATTAATTATATTAAAATATTTACGATAATAATAAATTTAATATTAATCATATAATGATGTTAATATTAATATAGCGGGTGATGGAGCGAGTGAGCGAGCGTGTGCGTGCATGAGTGTGCGTGCACGAGCGTGTGCGTGCACGAGCGCGAGCGAGTGAGCATGTGATCTACTCACCAGCACGAACTGGTCGCACATGTCGTCGGTGTGGAACGGCGTCGGAGCGACCCTGAGCAGCTCGTCTCCGCGCGGCACCGTCGGATAGTTGATCGCCTGGATGTAGTGGTTGTGTTTGTTCATCAGCAGGTTACTCACCTCCGTGCACACCTTAGGGTCGCCCACCTGTAGCACAAACAAACACACACATACGACGTGAGAGATTGACAGAGAGCAGTGATACTCCAGCCACTGTAGTATAGTATCACCTTATGACAAACGTCAACCTCCTCTACGTATCACACTGGCACAAGCACATGTCTAGTCAGGCGCACGGATATCCGATCTTCACTATCAGGGGTACCTACAACCCTCACTCTTAAAATTCTGTAAGAAGGGCATGTAAAAATCGCCGCTAATGTTCCATAAGAGAGACCTACAGACCCTACCCTCTAACGTTCAATAAAAATGGATCCAAGAACATCACTCCAAATGTTCCACGATAGAGCTCACAAAACTACCAGAAATCTTCACGACACGACTTAGAATCCGTGACGTTCTCACATCCGATAAACACGGTTTTGCAGATCTCGCAGAAGACGTCAGGAGGAGAGGGGCGGTGGTGTGCTACTCACGTGGATCGGAATGATGTGGCTCGGGGTGTGCCTGACGGGGATGCCAGCGGCCATGAGCCTCCCGCGTAGATACCGCACCGCCTCCTGGTGTCTAGCTCTCAGTCGCACGCCTTCCTCGCTCTTCAGAATCTACGTCAGACAAATGAGAATCTTATTCACTATGTATAACTTATGTAGGTATTACTCACTATGTATATACTTATGTAGGTATTACTCACTATGTATAACTTATGTAGGTATTATTCACAATGTATAACTTATTTAGGTATTACTCACTATGTATAACTTATGTAGGTATTATTCACAATGTATAACTTATGTAGGTAATATTCACTATGTATAACTTATGTAGGTATTATTCATTATGTATAACTTATGTAGGTATTATTCACTATGTATAACTTATGTAGGTATTATTCACTATGTATAACTTATGTAGGTATTATTCACTATGTATAACTTATGTAGGTATTATTCACAATGTATAACTTATGTAGGTATTATTCACTATGTATAACTTATGTAGGTATTATTCACTATGCATAACTTATGTAGGTATTATTCACTATGTATAACTTATGTAGGTATTATTCATTATGTATAACTTATGTAGGTATTATTCACTATGTATAACCTATGTAGGTATTATTCACTATGAATATACTTATTCACCATGTAGGTAACATTGCTACTGTGCCCCCTCTTATAAAACTCTAGCTAGATCAAGAGACACACTATAGTTGCAGTTGCTACCACGTGAAAGTGGTTAGGTAACCTTAGTATCCACTCGTTCTCGCAAGAGGACAGGTAGATGGAGTGTAAAGCATTGCGGTTGCTACCGCGTGGAAGTGTTCACGATGTAATGAGACAGTGGTAGATTGGTGGTTGCGTGGCATGCTTGCGCGCGTTGGTACCTTGACGGCTGCCATGGCTCCGTGAAGGACGGTGGGAGGCAGTGAGGTCGTGAATATGAAACCAGCCGCGTAGCTTCGGATCATGTCCACCAGGGCGGCGGAGCCGGCGATGTAACCACCGATGTTGCCGAATGCTTTGCCTGGAGCGAACACGCGACAAAGATCAGTCGAGGAATGGCAGAGAACAACGCAAACGCAAACCCTTCAAAACGACGATCATCAAAATGTTAGTAGCGTCACTGCGATAAATGTTCTATGTGTTAATATTCTATATATTATGTTTATAATGTTATAAATATTGTAACCAACATTGCAGCGTAGATTATATCAGAAAATTCAGTNAAAAAATTCTAATAACCCATCTGCCCTGTCATCTTAATAACAAAAGTCTGCATCGAAAAACGTTGTCGAACTGTGGTTCAAGCATGACCTCTCTGTGCAAGTCTGCATCAATTAACGTGGTCGATTTTAATGTGTGTTTTGTGACCGATTAGTCAGTCTATATGGTTCAAGCATGACCTCTCTGTGCAAGTCTGCATCAATTTACGTGGTCGATTTTAATGTGTGTTTTGTGACCGATTGGTCAGTCTATATGGTTCAAGCATGACGTTTGCGACACGAGAGCAAAAGACGAGAGCCGAACAAAGGAATATATGTCAGCTACTGGTGGGGGCCAAACCACGTTCAGTTATCTCATGTACAGCCACACGAGCGAGTTTCGCGGAAACTAAAAGTGGCCCTGACTACGTCTAACCGTACAGTTTGTAAGCAGGTTGAGCCAGTAGGTGATAGCGAGGATGGAAGATCGTAAGCAGTGTGAACGCTGCACCCACTTCCCCTCGCTCATTCTTTCTGCCTCGCCACGGCGATCACGCCTCGATGCCAGGAAATCCGACCAACAACGAAAACGCAAACGAGCAACGCAAGGTTTTCGCAAACAACTCTCGCTGGCGGCGGTGTTATTATTCTGAGCGTCTCGATTCGGTGAGTTTTTATTAGTTTGGATTAAGATGTAGGATTGTGAGTAAAAGTACAACATTAAAATACTGACAGGAAAAGCCCTGGAGGGTTGCCATCGCCTCGAGAAGTTTTATAGTTCCTTTCAAGGAAACAGTGGACACGATAACATCACCCAAAAATAACACCAGCTAATTTTTCCCTGTCTAAATCTCTAGGTGTAAAACTTTTCACTCATAGGGAGTCTAGGCGTGAGTACTACACAGTGTAGTTGGGGGGGGGGATGCAAGAATTTTTTTAGAAACTTTACAATTGACAACTCGAAAACTCTTCGACTCTTTCGAAAACAATTTTACCACTGACGTTATATTTACTATACAGGATTCACGTAAAGCCTTGACGACAACAAGTGACACAAGGTCAGTCACTGGCTACTACTTGACACAACGAGACCTTCAATTTCCATTCGTGTATGCCCAAGGTAAGCAGAAGAGACGAGGATTAAGACGAAGGCGTCTTTGTTGCTTTCGAGCCAACCGGTTTCGGTCCCGATTTTTGCTCTTACAAAACAAATAACATCAAGTGACCACAGCAACCCGCGTGCAAAGCAGACTATAGTCGGTGCACAGAATCTGAGACGTGAACGTACGTTTATCCACGGGTAGGAGCTGTGGCTGTAGCAAGTGCTAGGAAATACATTGTCGCTCAACGAAGTAGTTTGGTAGCCATTGTTGGAGCTGCAGCAGATTGGTAAGTAAGTGTTTGCCGGGGGGTCAGTAGCGATGTAAATCGGGAATATGGACGAGGCGTAGATTATCGATATGCCTATCTATACACAGACTGGTTACGCATAACCTAGACAACGCGCCTATAGTAAGCATAAAACGTAGTTTGATTCACAACGGAGTAGGTAATGACAGGGGATGAAAGATGTGACGGGCAAGATACGTGTGTGATAAAACCTAGACAGGTTCTTTACTCCGGAGTGTACAGTACAATGTTACATGTATCAGTGTGAAAGGAGTTACAATGTGTACATGTATCAGTGTGACAATTGTTACAATGTGTACATGTATCAGTGTGACAATTGTTACAATGTTACATGTATCAGTGTGACAATTGTTACAATGTTACATGTATCAGTGTGACAATTGTTACAATGTTACATGTATCAGTGTGACAATTGTTACAATGTTACATGTATCAGTGTGACAATTGTTACAATGTTACATGTATCAGTGTGACAATTGTTACAATGTTACATGTATCAGTTATAAACATAATATAATATAATAACATTAGAACATTTATCGCATGACGCTATCACCTTTGATGACGACGTTTTGCAGGTGTTTGCGTTTGCGTGTTCTCGCTATTCGCTCGACTGATTCTTCGTTGTGTGTTTGCTCCAGGCAAAGCATTCGAGCCACATCGGTGGTTACATTCGCCGTCCGCCGCCCTGGTGACATGATCCGAAGCTACGCGGCGTCATATTCACACCTCGTGGAACTACTCCCATCGGTCCCAGCGGAGGCCATGGCCAGCCGTCAAGGGTACAAACGCTCGCAAGCATGCCACGCAACCACCAATCTACGCACGTGTCTACATACATCGGAAACACTTCCACGCGGTAAGCAACGCGCCCAATGCCTTCCTCACTCACCTGCTGGCTCTTGCGAGAACGAGTGGATACCTAAGGTATCAACCACTTGTCGACGGGTAGCAACTGCAAACTATAGTGTGCTCTTGACTCAGGCAAGTTTATAAGAGGGGCCACAGTAGCAATGTTACTTACATGGTGAATAAGTATATTCATAGTGATAATACCTACATAGGTTATACATAGTGAATAAACCTACATCAGTTAAATAGTGAATAATACCTAATAAATTACTACATATTGAATAATAGCCTACATCAGTTATTCCAAGGCATCAATACACTACATAAGTTATATCATAGTGAATAGTACGCTACATAAGTTATACATATGAATAATCGCTACATAATATACATAGTGAATAGTAACCTACATAAGTTATACATAGTGAAAATACTACATAAGTTTATACATAGTGACATAATACCTACAATGTTATACATAGGAATAATACCTACATAAGTTATACTAGTGAATAATACTACATAACGTTAACATAGTGAATAATACTACATAATTATACATTAGTGAAATAATCCTACATAAGATTATACCTAGAGATAATACCTCATATGTTACTCATAGGAATAATACTACATAAGTAACGTAAGTGAATAATACCTACATAAGTTAACATAGTAAAATAATACCACATAAGTTAATACATAGTGAATAATACCACATAAGTATACATAGTGATATACCTACATAAGTTATACACGTGAATAATACCTAACATAATATACATAGTGAAAATACCTACATAAGTTATACACTAAGTGAATATAACCCCTAACCAATAAAGTTTATTTATACATAGTGATAATACTACATAAGTTATACATAGGAATAAACTCATATAGTATACATATGAATAAACTTACATAAGTTAATACATAGGATAAACGCTACATAATTATACATAGGAATAATACCTAGCAATAATTAACAAGGAATAAACTAATAAGTTATACCATAGTGAATAATACCTACATAATTTATCCATAGTGAATAATACTACATAAGTTAACAAGTGAGTAATACCTACAATAATTTATACAAGTGAATAATCCCTACATAATAACATAGGAATATACCTAATAAGTTATACATATCGTGAGTAATACGCTAATAAGTTTATACATAGTGAATAATACTACAATAAGTTTCATACATAGTGAATAAACCTACAAATATACATAGTGACTAATACCTACTAATATAATACATAGTGAATAATACCTACATAATATACATAGGAGTAATACCTACATAAGTTATACATATGAATAATACCTACATAAGTTATACTAGTGTAATATACCTACATAAGTTTATACATAGTGAAGAATACCTACATAAGTTATACATAGTGACTAATACCTACTCGTATATACATAGTGAATAATACCTACATAAGTTATACATAGTGAAAATACCTACATAAGTTATACCTAGTGACTAATGACCTACATAAGTTATACATATGAATAATACCTACATAAGTTATCACATAGTGAATAAGATCTCATTGTCTATTAAGATTTCTGAAGAGCGGAGAAAGGCTCGACTGAGAGCTAGAAAAACAACCCCACAGGAGCGGTGCGTATCTACAGCGGGAGGCTCATGGCCACTGCCTCATCCCCGCAGTCTCACACGCCGCGACCATCATCATTCCGACTCCCACGTGAGTACCACCACCGCCCTCTCTCTTCCTGACGTCTTCGGCGCGATCTGCAACGTTATTACGATGTGAGAACGTCACGGATTCTAAGGTGTGTCGTGAGATTTCTGGTAGTTTGTAAGCTCTATCGTGGAACATCGGAGTGATTTCTGCTGCATATCTATGAACGTAACGTAGGTCTGTAGTCTTCTTATGGAGACATCCGCAATTTATAACAGCCCTTCTTACAGAATTTAAGAGTGAGTGTAGTACCTCTGATCAGGAAGATCGGATATCTCTGCGCCTGACTATACATGTGCTTGTGCCATGTGATACGTGAGGAGTTGACGTTGCAATAAGGTATACTATACTACAGTGGCTGGAGTATCACGTCTCTGTCAATCTCTCACTCGTGATTGCTGCTGTTGTTGGCACAGTGGGCGACCTAAGGTGTGCACGAGGAGTAACCTGCTGATGAACAAACACAGAACGACAGAAATATAACACTACTCGCAGCGATCACTCTCCGACGTGCCCGCGCGCAGATGACTGCTCCAGGGTCGCTCCGACGCCGTTACCACACCCGACGGCATGTGCCGACCAGTTCCGGCTGGGAGTAGTATACTGCGCCACTCGCTCGCGCCACGTGCACGCACACGCTCAGTGCACGGCACAACTCATACACCACACGCTCGCTCACTCTCCATCACCCAGGCTGCCGGGGGGCCATTAATATTAACATAATATAAATCTATTATTATTGTAAATCATTTTAATATAATTAAATAGCGGTCTCATACTATACATCCCCACGCGAGGCCGCGACCTACATCGCTGCCTGCCCGCATGCGTGCACCGCGTGTCGCCGATCAGACATGTTTGATCTCTCCCTGTAGACGTCACGCTGACTGTCGGGACGACATGGGCTGAGCGCAAGACGCGGTCTGCCCGCAAGACATCGACTACTGCCGCCAGCCGCTGCGATCGAGATGCGTCGTCACGGAACAGTTGCCGTGCAGCCTGCCGAGTGAGCTGTGCCCGCGCATGGTGATGGCGCAGTAGCGCAGGGGGCGCCACCGCGTCTCGCTGTCGTTGCCGCGGTGATCGCGCGAACTTCTCATGACGGATCAGGTGGCGAGATGGCGAGCCAGCGGTGCCGCGAGTTTTAATAATAATACTAATAATTCATATAATCTTTTTTTTCGTAATGCTCTCATGCGTAGGCGATGCTTTGCAATTGGCGAAATTTCCCTGTTTGTTTTAGCGGCTGCAAGACAGTTGACCGTCAAAAACTTTAAAGATGCTCTCAAAAACATGAAGTCATGCTATCAAAAACTTTAAAGATGCTCTCAAAAACATGAAGTCATGCTATCAAAAACATGAAGTCTTGCTATCAAAAACATGAAGTCTTGCTATCAAAAACATGAAGTCTTGCTCTCAAAAACTTGGAAGCTGCCCCGCTTGGCACCACTAGTCCGTAAGTGAGAAGGTTTGCGAGCTCCGC